GTGCCTGCTCTCATGCCCCATTGTCTTAATTACTATGACTTTATAATAAGTCTTGATTTTGGCTTGGGAAAGTGTTCCTATGTAGGTATTTTTGGCTCATTGTATGTCCATGTTTTAAAAATTAGTTTTCCAAATTACACACACATACAATATACAATCCCTGGGAAGATTTTGACTAGGTTTGCATTAATTTACATAAATTACACTTATTTGGTATTTAGTATCTAACCCATAATCACAATACATCTCCACATTTATGTAGGTCTTCTTGAATTTCTATCAGTAAAGTTTATTATTCTTAGTAATAACCTCTTTTGGTTTTTTTGGCAGTACTAGGGTGTGAACTCAGGGCCTGGAGTTCTTCCACTTGAGCCAAGTCCCCGGTCCCTTTTTGACATTTATTCTTAAATATGATTGTAAATGTAAATTTTATCTTTTAACCAAATTTTTTTTTCCACAGAGTCTCTATGTATAGTCCAAGTTGCCCTGGAACTCTAAATACTCCTACCTTAGCCTCCTGAGCATTGAGGTTACAGGCACGTACCACCAACACTAGGCTTAAATGCATTTTCAAAAGGCATTCTCAGTACACGTTTTGAAGAAGATCTAAGCAAGTGTGCTTTTAACTATAGAATTATCTATAACACAATTACCATTGTGTTACATGTAAATCAAGTTTTAGTTACACCTTTTGGAATTGGGTCCAGATGAAGAAGGACATTTAAAATGCTAAATAATACTTTAGTGACATTATTTAGAACAACTCATATGAGTGAATATGTAGATAAGTTAGCAATCATCTTTATTTTGGAAGATAGCTACTTTACTTTTAAAACTTGAAGGAAGTGTTGTAAGAAGAAGGAGAAATTCTCCTCTGTGCCCTATTTGAGATACAGCAAAAAGAGGCACATGCAATGAAAATAATACTCATTGCTTCCCAGAAAAATACAAATAAGTAATCTGCATGTTTAAAGTAATAAATTAATTTATTTTCTGAAAAGGAAAAAAACATTGTAACTTGGCATGGTAACTCACACTGTAATCCCAGTTCTTGTGTGGCTGGAATATTTTGAGTTCAAGGACAACCTAGGACCACATAGCAAGATGCTATCCACCCACACACACACCCTCCTGACCAAAAAAAAAAAGAGTAAATTCTTGCGTATCGTGTAGATATGAAGGAATAAAAGACTTAAATGTGATGTACGGGGGTGTGTATTTTGAACAGTATAATGTATCATTATGTATGTAGTTATTGGAACTCTATACTTGACAAAGTGTGATTTGAGTGAATTGAGTTTTCTAAAAGTGTATGCTTTTAAAATGAAATATTCCAAACATACAAGTATACAAATACATGTGAATATAAAATATGAAGACTACTGAACACCTAGGGGTCTACCATATAGAACATTACCATTACTTTTGATGCTTCTTATGCTGCACTGTGATCTTTATATCTCTGTTCTTTCCAAAGAGTAACCACTATCAATACACTACAACATAAGTAGCTCCCTAAAAAAAGAGAAAGATTTTAATGTTTTATGTTTTGGACTATATAGAAATGATATCATATTGTATATGTAGTCTATGTAACTTAACTTTGTTTTAACCCAGCATTATGATTTTGAGACTCATTCTGATATATACAGCTATAGTTTAACCATTTTCAATGCTGAATTTAATAATAATATATTTTATATGACACTTCTATTGATGGACATTTGAATGGTCCTAATTTTGCTTTTATAAAGTATAACTGTGAATTTTGACACGTGGCATAAACATGAAGGGATTCTATAAGCTATATTGCTAGGAATTGAATTTTTGCATCATAGAGAATAGATTTCACTTTGCAAACGCTTCATGGAGTCACGCCAAATTGTCACCTCTAGTACTTGTTTTCATTGTTTCATATCCTCACCAGTGCTTTGTACTATCTAACTTTTAATATTTTGCCAATCTCATATGTGTAAATGCTGCCTTATAAGGTTTGATTTGTTTGTTTTTTTACTGAACAAATAGTGTCCTAAATTCTAAACCAAAAGTAATGTAAAATTACATTTAAGAAACACTTTCAAATTTGGCATTCAGAGTCTCATATTGTTCATAATTCACGATTGAAACATAATTATCTTGCTCCATAGTGTCAGTTCCTAATACCTATCCACTTTTTTAAGAAATTTAGGATGATTGAGGTGTATTTTACATATAGTACAATTCACTATTTTAGGTGCACAGTTTAAAGAGATTTGTCAAATGTATTAATAACATAACCATGGGCAAAATAAAAATAGAAAATGTTTCCTTTACCCTCAAAATTTCTTTTGTGGCATGAACCAATTCAAGTTACAATACATATATACATGGAACTGTCACAAGAAAACTGTAGAGCTGTCTTAAACAAACAAAAATGCCTTTGTCTGGGGGTTGGTACCTATGAAAATGGGAAGGATATAAGGAAAGGGTGAAGGAGATTGAATGTAGTGGTAATATTACGTATTTATGTATGCAAATAGAAAAATGAGACCTGTTGAAACTGTTCCAACAATGGGGGTGGGGGACAAAGGAGAATGATGGAGGGGGTGAATTCAACTATAGCCTATTTATAAGAACTTTTAACAATGTCACGATGTACTCCCAGTACAATAATTTAGTAAAAAAAAAAAATTTCTTCTCTGGAAAAAAAAATGTTTTCTCATGTCCTATTTTATTCATTTCCTGTCTCTAGTTTCTGTAATCACAAATTTAGTTTTTCTCTTAAAGTTTTGTCTTTTCTAGAATTTCACATACTGGAACCATACATAGTCTTTTATGTCTGGCTTCTCTCACTTAATGCTTTTTATTGCTGTGTAGTATATTTCATTGTGTTGCTGAGCTATAAATTTCTTAATCCTGTTACAGTGAAAAGACATTTAACCTGCTTCTCAATTCTTTTCCATCCATCAGAGAGAGAGAGAATAGATAAACTATTTTAATGTTTCGTGTGTGTGTGTGTGTGTGTGTGTGTGTGTAAATATCTTCCCCAGTCTTGATTACTGTTGCTTTCTTTTTTTTAATTTTGAGATCATCAAGTGAGACCTCCAAATTGGTTCTCCTTTTTTAAGACTGTTTTAGCTTTTCCAGATCCCTTACATTTTTATATGAGTCTTGAGATCACTTTTGCCAATTTCTGCAAAGAAGCCAGCTGGGGTATCTATGGGGGCTTTATTGAATCTGTTTATATCAAGTTTGGAAGTATTACCACTTTAGCAATATTGTCTTCTAGTTCCTGAATATAGGGTATCTTTCCATTTATGTAAATTTTTAAAATTTCTTTCCACACTATAGTTTCAGAGTTTGAAAGTTTACATTTATTTTTATTAAATTTATTCCTAAGCACTTTATTCTTTTTGATGCTGTTGGCACTACATTTTTATTTCATTTTCAGATTGTTCATTTCAGGTGCATAGAAATGCAGTTGAATTTTGTTCATTAATCTTTGCCCTGCAATATTGTACCCCATTAGTCTAATATTTTAGTGGATTCCTTAAAATTTTTTATATACAGGATTATGTCATTTGCAAATAAAGGATACTTTTACCTCTTTACTACTGTCTTTTATTCTTTGAACATGTCAAACATAGTTAATTTATAATTTATATGTGATAATTCAATACCACGATCTTTCCATGGTATATATCTGTTTATTGTTTCCACAAATTCTTGTTCATGAGGGATTTTCTCCTATGGTGTCATGATTTCTTTTTCTTTGTTAAATTGAGAACTCATTTTAAGTTGAAAATTATACTATTTCTTAATTTTGTCAAAGAGTATTTGTATTTGCTTCTGTTAGGTTCCAAAAGCATAGTGAGTCTTCAGTGAATTTATTTTCTTATTCTTAGTGTTAGAAGTTTTTACCTGAAAGAGTATTGTAACTTTAAACCATGTACCCTAAGAATAAGTCTATGGTCAGACATTTTCAGGGAGGGTTGTTAGTACTTAGAGCAGAGGCAAGGACAGGTTTTCTAATAAGTTGCTTTTCAAGCAGGCAAATATCAAATTGTGTATTTTAGCTCTTCCCACATTTTAATGATCCTAAGTTACTCCCTGGTTTCTCACAAAAAGTATGTTATCTGTTTTTGTCTCAATATTCCCAACTGCTTTGCCATTACTTCTATAGTCTCATTTTCCTCTGCTTCCTCACTCCTTTAGGGATTGCAAAGTGTTTTTTATGTAGTATCCAGTACACCAGCCCTTTTCAGATCATATATTGTACCTACTGCTAAAAATGAGTACATAGATGAATTTATTCAGATTAAAGATTATTAATGTGTGACTCATACCTGTACTATACTTAGGCTTTACTTTCAGATTGAAGTGGAACGTGATTAATAGATAAACTAATTTTTAATTTTTAAAAACCTTCTTTTTCCCTAGGCCCCACCAATAATTTTTTTTAATTGTTGTGCTGGGGGTACATTGTAGCATTTATAAAAATCCTTACAGTATATCAACTATATCATACTTGAACTAGTACTTTTGTGAGCCTTTTTAAGATGTCAAATCAAAATATTTTAAAGTAACTTTGACCGTTAATATTTTATTCATGTTCAGTTTATCTATTCTGTGTTTCAGATATTTGATTTAAACTCAATACTTTTAGATCAGAATGCTTAGAAAAAGCAGAACACTTCTGAGGTACCAAATCCTTACTAAAATAAAAATGGTAATTTTAGTCATTGTGGAATATCTAAAGCCAAAACACATAATATTCACATAATATGAAAAATACAAATGTTAAGGTATATTTGTACTATTCATATGTAATAATTACTATTTTCTATCCCAACATTCCAGTTGGAATGTTTAGTGTGTATATAATGTGAGATAATATAATTAACGTAAGATCAATGCCTCTCTTTGTTCCATTGCATATTTTTTGATGTGTCTATTTTCTAAATAACAAGTAACTAGTTTATCTGGTTTTGATTTTACAATTTGATGTCTTTATTTGACAGGTTGCAATTTGTACCGTACTGATGTCTCACTCTTGGGAGAACCTACCGAGTTTGAATATTTGCGAAAAGTACTTTTTGAGTATATGATGGGTCGTGAGACTAAGGTATAAATCATGTCTGGCACTTTGGTATGATGCTCAACTTAAAAGGAAGTGTGTTCTAGTATTAATAGACATAATGATCCATAAGTAGAAAGTGCTGTTTGGATGATACTAAAATCCTACAAATATTAAAATTTAATGATGCAATAACTTGTGAAGCATCTGGCAAATTTTCTTCAGATACTAAAATTGAAAGAATAGATTTCATTTTTGAGAAAACTTTTAAGATATTGCAGATAACATTGGAAATCATCAGAGTTAACAATGGTTTCTTGAGTAAATTTAGAAATATTTTACTTTATTCTGTAAATTACTGTAAAAAATCATTCCTGCACATGTAGAATATTTATCATTTTAAAAATTGCCACACCATGTAAATATTAATGCTTGGCTAATTTGTTTACTAGAATGTAAGGGCCTTACCATACTGTCCTTGAGTGTAAGACCTTATTCAATAATTTGTGACCTCTATCCTGAATTAAAAGGAACCCTATATTGGACATTTGGTGAATATATTTTGAATAGAATTGAAGAGGTATATATTAATTCACAGTAATTGAGTATCTTTTTTTCTTAAGGACTTACTATTTTTTAAGGACAGCTAAAACTAATTTTCTCATCTTTTTTAAAACAGCTGATGAAATACTGCTTTCCTTTATTGTGTCCTTGTTGAATATAAAATAGTAGCCTATATTTGAGGTTGGGTAAATAGTTTAAAGTTACCTTGTTACTGCATAGTGGATAGGGAAGAGGGTATATCTTTAAAAAAGTCTCAGAACTTTAGCTGAGAACTTTAGATTCACTAATGAATCTAAAACCATAATATAAGTGTTATTGCTTAACAAATTATTTAACCTTTCTTAATCTTTAAAATAAAGTGACTGGCTACTTCTACATATTTCCTCTGATTATACATTTGTGAGATGAGAGCTCTACAAAGTTTTAGAAAGAAAGATCCAGCCCAAGTATAAGATGTGCAATTAATTTTACAGCATGACTTGGGAGACAGTTAGAAGAGATGTCTCATAGCACAAGCAGTCTTATCTAAAACCTGGCTGCGAGTCCATGTTGAAGAACGCTCACCAAGTCCATGTTGAAGAGCGCTCACTCACTGGCTTTATCTTCATTCATTGTACTTTTCTGACTACCAAAAATGATAAGTAGTCTATCATTCTGCCATCACAGTTTATACATAAATACTGAGAATTGATAGTAGGTTTAATTTACTGCACATTTATTGACCACTTAACTACATGTGACCCTTTATCACCGTGATGGGTTATAAAATGGAATCTGATGCAGTACCTGATGTTAAAGTTCTGTTCTTAACTAACCATAATATGAAGCAGAGTATAGTAAGGGCTATAAAAGAGGTTCATAGTGCTCATAATTACTTGTAAGAGGGTCAAGGAAGACATCATGACTTTAGGTGAGATGGGGAGCTAGATTTTGGTAGATGAGCTCAGTCAGGAGGGGCAGTCCAGGCAGAAGGTCTAAAGCAGAAAATGGCTTGTGGGTTTCTGGAATGACAAGTAGTATAGTCCAACTAAAACACTGGATTTGTGGGATGGAAGTGATTCCACAGAGTCTTGAAGGGTGAAGGGTCTTGAATGTTTTCAGAATTTTACCTAAAGGTACTGCAACAAGAGTAGCCCTGAAATTTTTGATCAGCAATAAGAGTATCCGAGCTGGTTTTAGACACATTTTTTTTTGCTGATTTGCCTAATTTCTATATATGAACAAAGAATTTGAAATGGATGCCAGGTTGTGGTTTAGAATTAGCCAGTGTTCAGGCCTTTGTGATTTGATTGTGTTTCTTGTCTAGCAGACCCTGTGTGTCATCTCACCTGTGTTTCTTCATCTGCTTTTGCACACAGTTAGCTTTATTTTATGAGGCAGAGTTTTTAAAGAACACTACATATAGTACACATATTCTTGTACTATGGAGTTAAGTAAGCCCTGCTTTCTTCACTCCTTGTACTTTTTCTTTCTCTCAAGGGTCCCCCACAGTATTATTGATACCAAAATTCATCCTGTCTTACTTTTCAGTAAATGGTGTTTCTCATTCTAAGCTTTATTGAAGAAGCTGCTCCCTAAGCAGGGGGCAGGGGGGAGACTGGCAGGAGATACTATTTCTAAATCAGTGGCTAGTTTGCACTTTTCCTTGCTTTCTCTGGGCCTGAAGACTTTGTATGTAGATTAGACAGACCATGGGTATGACAAGGAGCTTGGACTTTTCCATTAAAGTATTTTCCGGGAAGCTGTAAGGCTTTCCTGGGTAATCAGCTGCAAATTCTGGGTTGCTGATAAATACTATAGTGAGTTTGTTAATGGCAGAGGTGTAGTTTCAGAACAGAAGATTTCCAAATTCTTTGCATCCCACGTGGAAGAATCCATGGCAGGACACATGGGTATAAATGGAGTTTACTAAAAGTTAGGGAAGGGAATAACAAAAAGGGGGCATGGTGGGACCAGATGGAAGCTGGAAGCAGAGAGTGAGTGTTTCTCTTTTCTAGGTGTTTTTAAAACTTACGCTAACCTATGGGAAGGAAAGAACCTGATGATTCCCAACCAATAGTCAATGAGTAAGAAGGGCATAGGTGGTCCTCTGGTTCATGTGAGGACATCCCACCCATCCCTGAGCCAGGGTGTGGACAACCTACAAACATATCTGCAAATGAATAGAAGACTTAGAGAAAGAGGAATGTTCAATCTGATATACAATATTAAGTCATATATTTTCTGAGTCCTGAAATTACTGTTCATGTTGTCTAGAAATGTGAAAAACAAAAGCCACAGTTCATTAAAAAATAATATTTACACATGCATGTATAAGTGGTTTCATAATAAATATAGGTGGACTTTACTTTGAGCTTGATGTGATATTAAAATTAAAGAATTGTCAATCCTTGAATTTTAGGCTTATGGTACTTCCCAAAAAAATCTTGATGGATAGTATGCAGGAAGTTGCTTCAGCCTGCTAATAAAAAGAAAATATTGAAGCGGTTGCCACTTAGTTGTTTTGTAATTTCATATGCCACATACATACTTAGTTTCTAGACTTAATGTTTGTCAGACAAGATTCTGTTCTATATAGTTAATTTAAATCAGGGTTTTTGTAAAATCTTTCAGAATTCTCCAGGAACTAAATTGTTTTAAATGATATTTTTTTGATCATCCAAAATGGCAGACGCAGATAAAGGGAAGAATTGTGCTGGAACAAAAATCTTGCCAGAGGGGGATTTGCAGTTGAGAAACAATATTAGTCAAAATTATTTCTTTTCCATTAGTTGAAATAACTTATTAGAAATGTGTGGAATGACTTGCTAGACTTAGTACCCTGTTTGTTCCTTTTCTTCCTGAAAACTTTTTTTCTAATGATGTGAGTTTCTAAAACTTTTGGTTAATTATATTGTGTTAAGTTTTTCTTAATTACTTCCCCAAAACCCATCCTCCACACTCCTCTACACGTAGAGTACATGTAACCATGAACAAAGAATGTCAGAGTCATTTTTCTGGACTACCCTCTTACCCATTATAGTAATCCCCCAGAGAGTACTACCCCCCGAATTTATATGTAAGCACTGAACTTGTTATCCTACTTATTTCATAAGTGATATCTTCTTTCCTCTCTGTCTTCCTCAAAACATCTCATCTTGATACAAAATAGGGAGTTTCAACCTTTGAGGACAATTTTCCAGGAGCTTATGGGTGAACAGTCTGACTTACGGTATATTTATTAAGATCTGCACAATTTATGATCTTGTTTTGCAAAGCACCATGTGTAATGTTTTGGTTCATCATGTTTTCTACCAAACAATACATTTGTGTTTCTTTACGATGTAATTTCTATTAGGTTGATGTGCTGCATGTCTTAAAAAAATACCTACTAAGCATGTTCATGTTCATGCAGTAGCCTGTGTTTATGAGATATATGATGTGATTTAGTTAAAACTGAACTTGGGGGACATTTAATTCTTCTTATTTAGAGTATTTTTTGGCAATACATCACTTCATAGATTTTAACAAATAAAAAGCCTTTTCATATAAATACATAATAAAGTTTCATCTGAGACAAAGGGCCAAGTGTATTAGATTTTTATAGCTTCATGCTATTAGAAATGCATCATGTTAAAATAATAAAAGCCTGGATATTGTGAGGAGTCCTTTTGAATTGAAATTCTAGTGCTGGCTGATATTTCCTTGACTAATACCTTCACATCATACTTCTTTGTTCATGGCTTCCATTGAGAGCACTAAAGAATCACACCAGCAGAATATGTCAGATTGGGTTGAGATTTCATCTGCTTCACTATTAGTGATAATCTCTCCTTTTTCTTGTAGACCATGGCAAAAGTTATAACCACTGTCTTGAAGTTCCCTGATGATCAGACTCAGAAAATTTTGGAAAGAGAAGATGCTCGGTTAACGGTAAGCATTTGAAGTAGGCTGTAGATAACAGTCCACAGCTCCAACACCAGCACTGTGGGGGCGAAAGGAAGCCAAAGTCACAATCACAAGGTAAGCCAGGCAGCCCTGATGACAGCAGACTGGTACTCCCAGCCACAGGAGAAGCCAACAGTTCTTACAAGCCTCAAATCGATGGCATGCTCAGAGTGTTATAGTCAGGTGCTATGTTGAGAGGGGCCTATTGTTTGAGGCTGAGCTACTATGGGGAATTAAAAATAAGGAGCCACTACAAGTCAAAGAGCCTGGGGACACCCTGCCACAGTGTTGGTAAAAGATAGCCTAGAGAGGCAGTCACAGAAGGGGGTGCTTGGGCTATGGAAGACACCGTAAGTGGTAGCCCCATCTTCTGTGGCAAGAGGTGAGCTCCATTGCCTGAGAATTACTGCAGACTGAAAACTTCAAGCCCATATCTTGTGGATTGCTTGATTTATGCAGCTACCACTACCACATGTGGTTTCCTGCTGTGCAGAAATGAGTTCTGAGTCCGGATATGGCAGATTGGTTGATTTCCACAATTTCCCCCTTCCCACAAGGTGGTTTACTGGTGGTTGAGGTTTCAAAGAACTAATACCCACAGACAATGTGCCTGGTTCCTTGGGTATCCCTATCAGTGAATAACTCAGCGCTCTATTTCCTTCCTCCACTCTCCAACACACTTGGGGAATATCCCTTGGCTTGAACATTTGCCACCCCTGGGTACACAAACTAGGGGTGAGGTGGGGGGAGGGATCTTTGGAACAAGTGGGAATCTGACTGGCTCATAAGGTACAAAGTTCATTGGGGCCAGCAGTAGCTCCCAGTAGGCAAAGAAGGGAAGCTTCTAAAGTAAATACAACCCCAATATTGAAAACATAACCTCGACGGGACCTCATCCTCAGTCCACATATAGCACCATCCTATTCATGGGAATAAAATAGACTTCAGGTAATGATCACCCCCAGACCTAGAAGACTGCAATATTAGAAGACCCAGAAAGAAAAACTGCCAATTCTTGGTCATTTTCTTTACCTTTTTTTTTCTTTCACTATGGTTTCTGTATTGTTTTTATTTTAATTTCTTAAAATATTTTGATTGTGTATTCTCATATCTTCATTTCTTTTACATGTTTTGTCATTATTTTAAAATAAGATGTTTTAATCTCTTGCTCTTTTCCTCTTCCTCTCCTCCCATTCTTTTTCCTTTGCTTTTTCTTTTACTCAACCTTGGTTGCTCTTTTTTCCCTTTCCCTGTCCTCTTTTTTATTCTTTAATTATTATTAATTCTATTTATCAACTTTTAACTTCATAATTCTACTTTATATATGGCACTTTCATTTTTATGATTACTAGTGGCCTAGTTGTTTTTATTGATGTTTTATTGTTTTTCTATATCTACCTTGTTTTGGCTTTACTTCTGTTACAGGGGTTTTTCTCTTCTCTGAGTGGTATTGGGAATGATCCCCCAAGTGTAGGATGTTCACTAAGAAGTCCCTTTATAAAACCATAACAGTTGTCCATTCCAGTACATAGGCAAATTGCAACATAAGAAATAGGAAAAATCAAGGCAACTTGACTCCTCCCAAAGTTCATAGCTCCTCAATAACTAAATCCAAAGATGTTGAAATGCTAAAGAGTTAAAAAGACTTTTTATAAAAATCAGTGATCTCAGAGATTCAAATAAACAGATGAAAGAAGATAAACTCAAGAGCTGGAGACGAAACTCAGCAAAGAGATAAAGATTCTGAAGGAAAAAAGTTTTTTGGAAATGAATAGGTCAGTAAGTCAAATTTTTAAAAACACAATAGAAAGCATAACCAACAGATAAGACTAGTAGATAGGATTTGAGAAGTTTGAGGAATTATTACATTCAAATAGCAATAAAGTAAAACAAAAAGCAATTGTGACTCAGCATTCATGATCCCTGAGAAAGGACTAAGAGAACAAACTTACAAATCTGTGGTATAGAAGTGGGAACCAAGATGCAGACTAAAGGCATAGAAAACCTAATCAATGAAATTATAGCAGAAAATTTCTCAAATATAAGGAAAGAAATGGACATCCAGCTAAAGGAAGCATTTAGAACCTTAGAACATGACCAGAAGAACCTTCCCACATCATATTATTGTTAAAGTACCAAAAATACAGAATAACAAAAGAATTCTGAAAGCTGCAAGAGCTAAGTGCCAAGTTATCTACAAAATCAAATGTGTCAGAATAACAGCAGACCTCTCAGCAGAGACCTGAAGGCTCAGACGCCATGGACTGATGTATTTCAAAACACATCAAAATAACTGCCAACCAAGATTATTAAACCCAGGAAAATTATTTAAAATAGAAAGAGAAATAAAGTTTCCAAGATAAGCATGAAGTAAAGCAATTCATGGCCACTAAGCCAGCATTGCAGAAGATTCTTTAATGAATAGTACACTCAGAAGAGGAAGAAGGGCACATACAAGCATGAGAGCTTGGAAGAGAATAAATCTCAGTAGTAGAAGCAATAATGAATCAAATATTATTAACTAAGTGAACCTCTAAGATGAAGAAGAGAGATTAGTACGTGCCTTTCAAGGATAATGCTAAATGTAAATTGTTGAACTATCCAATTAAAACACAAAGACTGGCTAATTGGATTAAAAAAAAAAACACCACCACCAAACTGTTTGTTGTCTGCAACAAACTTATTTCACTGGCAAAGAAGTACACATATTGAGTGAAAAAGAGTGTAAAATGATATTCCAAGCAGATGGAATCCAAAAGTAAGTGGAAATACCTATACTTGTATCTGACAAAGCAGACTTCAACCAAAAATTAGAGGCATAAAGAAAGTCACTCCATATTAATAAAGGAGTATATCCATCAAGAAGATTGTAAATACATCCTGAAAAGAATATGCATTCCTCTCAGCAACACATATAACTTTCTCCAAAATACATTACATTTTGGATCATGAACTTAACACATCTCAACAAATGTAAAATAATTGAAATATTTTTGTAATAAAATCAGAATCAATACCAAAGAGAAACTATACAAGCACATGGATATTAAGCAACACGCTTTTTAATAGTCTATGGGCTATTGAAGAAATCAAGAGAAATTGAAAATATGCTACAATAAGATTAAATGAAATCACCACTTAACAGAATCTGTGGTATACATAAAGGCAAATTCTAAGAGGGACATTTATAGCTATGATTTCCTGCATTAAGAAATCAAGAGAGCTCTTCAGTAAATAACCTAACAATGTAACTCAGAGTATTAGAAAGGCAATAACAAGCCAAACCTAAAATTAGTAGAAGGAAATAAATAATACATATCATGGCAGAAATTCATGAAATGAAAGCCAAAAGAATAATACAAAAAATCAACAAAACAAAGAACAGGTTTTTGAAAAGATAAACAAGATTGACAAACCCTTAGCCAAACCAAAAAAAAGAAGGGGAAAATACAAATAAAACAACATGAAAAAAGTAATATTACAACAGGTAACATGGCTTATTATGGAATATTTTTAAACATGTTTCAATAAATTGGAAAATCTAGAACAAATTATACATTTCTATACACTGATAATCTACCATTATCAAACCAAAAGAATGTAAGTAAGTAAGTAAATAAATAAATAGATAAGCAAGCTGGTTTGTAATGAGAAATGAGATTGATGTAGTTACAGAGTCTCCCATCAGAGAAAAGCTCAGGTTTGGACACATTCACTGCTTCATTCTACCATACCTTTAAAGAAGAACTAAGTTTTGTTTCTCAAACTATCCCATGAAACAGAAAGGGGAAGAACACATCCAAACTCATTGTGTATAACTAGTATTTCCCTGATACCAAACCTCTTAAGGATACAACAAAAGGAGAAAACTCCAGACCAATTTCCTTGATGAACATAAACATAAAAATACTCAGTAGCATTCTTATAGCCAAATTTAATAACACATTAAAAAGCTCCTACACCGTGATTGTATTGGTTTCATTCCAAAGACTCAGGGATGGTCCACACATAAAAATCAATAAAGGTAATTCACCATGTAAATAGAATCAAGAACAAAGCTCACATGACTATTTCAATGAATGCATAAAAGCTTTTGACAAAATTCAACATCCATTCACAATAAAAAGCCCAGAAGAAACTAGAAATAGATGGATCATACCTCAACATAAAGGTATACGTAAGAAACCAAAAGCTAACATTATACTTAATGGGAAAGTATTTCCTCTATAATCAGGAACAAGAAAAAGGTGCCTAGTTTCCCCAACTTTGTTTGATTCTTAGCCAGAATTCTTGAATTCTTAGCTAGACCTTTAGGCGAGAGAAAGAAAAAATTTTTTATTGCTTCCCCCCACCCCATTTTTACATTTACTCAACATATGTATACATGGTTTGGGCCACCTCCCCTCCATTGCCCCCCCCACCCAGCAGAACCTGTTCTGCCCTCTTTTCCAATTTTGTTGAAGAGAAAACATAAGAGGTGACAAAGAAAGACAGCGTTTTGCTAGTTTGAGATAAAAATAGAGCTATACAGAAAGATTCCTGTGCTAATTCCATGTACATGTGTATTACAACCCACATTGGTTCATCTCTACCAGACGTCTTCATTACTTCCTAGTCCCCTTCCCATAGTGGTCTCTGCCAGTTTAAGATGGCTATATTCACTCCTTTACAGTAAGCACATCAATCACATTCAAATTTTAGGTTTCCTTCTCTTTCCCCTATACCTCCATGTGTATTCTCCCATTAGTGTGTGACCCGTGTCCAATAATATTAGTGCATTTGTTTTAGGGCTATAATCTGCATATGAGGGAGTACATGAGATTTTTGATCTTCTAAGCCTGGCTAACTTTACTTAAGATAATGTTCTCCAGTTCCATCCATTTACTTGCGAATGACAAAATTTCATTCTGCTTTGCGGCTGAATAAAATTCCATTGTGTATAAATACCACATTTTCTTAATCCATTCGTCAGTAGTGGGGCATCC